CATATATGTATATATGTATATATAAGAACATATATATATATGTATATATATGATATATATATATGATATATATATATACATATATATGGGGGGGTTTCCTAACAGTAGGGGGACCACATTGGGGGTCCCCATAATAAGGACTGGAATAATTTGGGGTATATATCGGGGTGCCCTTATGTTGGGAAACGACCATATATTACATCAGCATATCTACAATGTACATGAAGATATGTATGTATGGGTTTAGGAAATCGGGATCATGGCTTTCAGGTTAAGGATTCAGAGGGTTCAGGTTTTAGATCTATGCCTCAAGAGCCAGGATTGTTAGGGTTCAGGGTGCAGGAACCTGATTTTGAACATGTGAAAAGGGGATGTTCAAGGCTTCAGAAAGAAGTCTACAGATTCTTCGGCGTTTCAGAATATGATTCTGGTTGCGGGGGGCCCTATAATTAAGTGGAACAAGGATGCAAACATGCTTAGGCACGATATATTGTGGCTTCCTTATAGGCGTCACTCACTCACTCTCTCGCTCACACAGCCCCCATGAAGGTGCCCAACACACGTGAAACGCAGGGGAAAATAGTACTCGTGTGCAATTGCGTGGCAACCCCTCCCGCGCAGGCTGATGACTAGCTGCCATTCCGCAATGCATTTTTAGAAAGGCAACCGGTATTGTGTGTCACATTTTACAGTGGTAGCCTGGATGTCAATTCAAGCCCAACGTGTTCAAACTCAAGAAAAAAGCTGCAGCCGTGTGGATCTACAAGGCTTTGATGTCTGGCATCCTTTTGGCATCCAGTCCCTGCAAGCTGCAAACGCAAAACCCTTGCCTCTGGTTAGCAGGGAATGAAGAAAAGGAAGATGGAGACTGCTCTAATTTGGGGATCATATAGCGACTACCATCAGGATCCATTCCTTCGTTCCTTGCTAGCCCGAGGTAACAACCCTGCTCCTGTTTGAGCATACTCTTCTGGAACTGGACTTGTTCGCTCGCCAGATCAACATGCATGTCTGTCCCGGAGAGCGAGCCCGTGTGACTAAGCTCCCAAACGCGTTCCCTTTCTAGCCTCCGAATCCACATGTAATCTATATCTGCCCAACACCCTGAGGTCCTTGAACCATTAGCTCCGGCCACGAGGGGTCTCTAAAGCCTAGGGTCAGGTTAGGGATGAGATGCTCAAGCCTGCTCGACATTGTGGGCATTCTTGGCGCTTGTCTCCATGAACCTCAAGTTCGAGTTGGGTTGCAAGGTGCAATGTCATGTGAACCTACTGGTATTTTTGAAAAGCTAGAATTAGACTTACTACTAGTATTACTCTTACTCTTCTTACTATTCTTATGACTGCTTCTTAACTCACAGCAACTCCACAATGAGAGAAGTGCCCTGCTGTTGCAGTCCTGCTTGCGCATCGATGCAAACCCTCGACCCCTCGGCTCTACACACGAAGGCTAGGTCTCTTTCTTTTGACACATCAAACTAGATGATCGAAGGAATAACGTACCCTGCCGGTTGAAGAGGAGCAATACTGTTTTGTAAGAGTGAACGGCAAGCTGTTGAGTACCAAATCCTGATCTGCAGCTGTGCAGCTGGATGCCAAAAGAGTCAGCGAGCTCCTGTGCTGGCTATCTGTGACTACACTCCCACAAACAAGCAGACTTGCGGGACTTCACAGAGGTTGCTAAGGGCCCCCGATGTGGTGTTACATGTATGCTCGTGGGAGAATGCTGGTGTAGAGGAGAGCAGGGTGGGAACGATGAATGATGTGCAGGGTGCATATAAAACAGAATAAGACATAATTAGGCTTGCATGCAAACTCAGAAACAAGTAATCTGCTTCAGGAACCAGGATTACTCTGCCATTACCTGCTCCAGCTGCTTGTATCGCTTACGGTAGCTCACCGATTCAACAAAGAAATGACTCCTCAGAACCCAACACAGCAAAACTCCATTCAGGCTCCTTTCTACATAGATTGGTTCAGACTTGTAAGGTCCTGAATCCTTGGGGTACCACATGCTTCTAGGTTCATAGGTACGTAAGTCCGTGCAAAAGCGAAATAAAAACTTCATGCTGTAACTGTAGCTGCAGCTATTCGCTCATGTCTGTTACTACATCTGGGAGCTTCCATAAATGTGGGGTGCCCAGTTTGGGTCCCTATATGTTAAAGAACAGTCCATAGTATGGCAGCCGCCCGCAAGGGACCCCTAATTTTTGGAAATCCCAAGTCCTAGACACCAACACATAATATGTGTTGGTGCTTAGGGCTTGGGATTTCCCAAAATCAAATGGAAACTGGGATATAATATCCCAGTTTCCATTTGATTTGTAATTTTCTTTTTCATTGGATTCTCCACTAGTGGGGATAATATCCCCCTAAGCCCTTGAACCATGAAACTCGAAGTTATGTTTACATTTCGTGCTCCGTTTTTCTTTTTCCACTTGAATTTCCATTGAGGTAGTTTTTCATTTTTACCAGTTTTACAATATTGAACACCCTAAACCCGAAGTTCAAAATCCTGAAGCCTTGTACCTAAACCCTAAATATATAATCCCAAAGCCCTAAACCCTAAATGTTGAATCCCGAAGCCCTAAACCAGAAATTCAGTAGCCCTATACCCCAAGCTATAAATTCACAAGCCTTAAACCTTAGACCCTTACCCTCATAGATTTGGCAGTCCTTCGCCTCATCGTACGAGACCACCTTCTTGGAAGAAAGGTCGCATTTGTTACCTTGACTGGCTTAGGGTTTCAGGGTTTTTTTAGTTTTAGGCTTTCAGGCTTGAGGGTTTAGCGGCTTAGAGCTTCGGGATAATATGGGGTTATATAGGGATATGTAAGGTGTATATATAGGGATCACGGAAATGAACATGGAAACTGCTACTCAGGGGCAAGGGTTTTGGAGGCCATGAGAAAGATTTATGTCTCACGAGGCATTGGCTCTGTTGGCAACCAACTCAAAACAGACCCTGGGACGCCACGACACTTGAAAATCAGCAGCCCCCCATAGGACCACGCATCTCACTCATCCATTGCGAGCCCGCCCTAAACCCTAAACACTAAACCCTAAATAGTAGTTTCCATGTTCTTTTCCATTATCCCAAACAACAGGACAGATGGCTTAAAACTGAACCCTGAGCATGGTCTTGGACAATTCGACCCTGCTGCGAAGCTGACTCTACCGGTACACCCACATGAGCTATAGCTAAACTCCTGGTATCCCCCTTGATAGCCCCTATAATAGTCCCCTATATAATCCGTGTAAGGGGCTTTAGACTGTAGCTCACACCAGGCTTGAAGTTGAGGTAGATGTTGGGTACTGCTCCCCCCCTACTAGCAGTTGGATAATATTTATAATAGGGTTATATATAGCCCTTAGTATGACCCCTGATATAGACTATTACTGGGCGGGGGCAGTACCCAAGGTAGATGGTTGACAGAGTGTAGGGTGTAGGGATGACCTGCCGAAGGCTGCTTGCTACAACAACAGCCAAGAGCTTGTGTTGGTTTATGCGTTGCAGCTTTGGACGAAGAGTAGATCATGGGTCCCCTACTACCCCCTAGGTTCCCCCATTAATTAAAGCTAACCTAGGGGGGTGGTATAGAGGGGGGTAGGAGAACCACCCGAAACCCTAAACCCTAACCCCAAAGTAGAGCCAAATAAGGTTAATTAAGGGGAACCTAGGAGGGGTGGTATAGAGGGGGGTAGTAGGGGAACCCCAAAGTAGAGCCAAAATCCAAGATCTGGCCCAGCCGCCGACCAACAGCTTGTTGACGCCGTCGGCTGCATACTTGTCGATCTCCTGGCGGTCATGATCCGCGTGCAGTCCCCCTTAAGTTGATAGAATATGGGGTATATGGAGATCTTATTATAATATACCCAAAATCGTATTCTATCTACTTAACGGGGACTATAAGCACTTACAGAAAGGCAAGAATCTAGAAAAGTCTGCTCTAACCCTCAGCAAGTTCATAGGGCCACTCATGCGAAGAATGCGTGGTTTCTGTGGTTGTCCCAGCTTAAGTGCTGATACCTCCGGAGCATATACCGCCTCAAACGATCAACTGCTAACCTAACATAAGCGCTTGAAACATACCACGACTGGGCCGGTTCAGCAAAGCTCACTCATACATGCCTGGACCCAATGCTTGACGTTGTTGAAGGACTCCTTATCGGTCACCTCGACAAGGCGTGATTATACCCCAATAATGGAGAATCAAATGGAAAAGAAAATGGAAAATGAAATGGAAACTGGGATTATATAGGGGTTATTTGAGTAAAATTTTAGATTAGTTAGCATGCAGCACTGCAGAACTGTCTGCTCGGGATCTGCCTTGACATCGGGATACAACTTGAAACAAGAATTCCATTTCGTATGGTGCTTTCATATGCTGGAAATAGAAACATGACATACCCTCAAGAAATGACCCTTGGTGCTCTAACGATACAGGCGGCTCGTGAGAGGTGAGGTATGCCCGCCGGAAAGCTTGGGAGTTTCATACTCCCCCTACAAGAAACGGCATATAAACCAATCTCAGAACCATGCGTGCTTCTCAGATTCCAGCTCTAGGAAGCAGGCACTAGCTCGGAGCGCAGCATGGGATCATAATTCCCTGATAAATATAAAAATGTATATATGAATAGATGTATTATAATTTTGTGGGTAGCATTTATAGGGTTTAGGGTTTAGGGATGCAGAAATTTCTGGGCGTCTCAAGAGGAGGGCCTCAAGTGTCAGAACTCACAATGACTGATCACCCACACAACCCCCCTCCCATAATCCCCGTATAATGCCTGTATATCCCTACTGTCCCACATGGCAAGCCTGTTTTGAGAAATCCCCACCTGAGCAGCGGTCGAGATCCTTCAGACAGATACCAAAAAGCATAAAAATAGGACTTACTCTTTTTGGTGACTAAACCCTAAACCCTGAACGCCAAAAGATTCTACTTACTTGTCACTTCGGAAACCGTGTACCAGGTTGAAGCCAGCTTGGCTCCCAGCATCGTAGACCACGATGATGCCATGGGCACCTGGCGAACGACTGATAATTGAAACTCCTGGAGAATTAGGGTTGGGGTTTTGTTGAGGGCTTTCCCCAGAATTTAAAAACCCTTTGCTCTGAATCCCTAAATGGAGCCCAAAGTACAGCAGGTAAACAATGGCCCAAACAAGCCATTGAAACAACAACCCTAGGCTATTGTTCTCCAGACTTTTGGGGGGTTGAGGTAGACAAGCTGTACTCCCCAGGCAATTGTGAATCCTCATCCCAAAATCGTGCAATGACTGGCCCTCTGAAAATTATATCTATCGCCTGCTCTCACTCAGGCACGGAAAGGACTGTGTAAGTGTAGCGTCCGGGTTCCCTTCTTCAGTCTTAGGTTGCAGGAACGAGGATTTCAAGATTTCGGCGCATATCAAGCGATCCGGAGGTGGCATATGTCAAAGCTCATCCCATCCGCCGCTACAGCAACCAACAGGGTTCGGAGTAGGAAGACGGATGCGAAGTCAAGTAATCCCCTCCCTCCCCCTAATATTAAACCCCGCCACGCCGCCCTGATATTAAATACTCCCAAACCACATATAATGGCAGTATTTAATATCAGGGGGTGGGGGATTAGATATCAGGGGGAGGGGACTACACACACACACACACACACACACACGGGCTCCAGCAAAGGCTGTCGGCCCAAACCCACAAGCCCAGGCTGTGCCTTAAAGGCACGGAACTCGGCTAGCCACATTAAACCGCCCAACCCACGAGTGCAGCCACAAAGCCCCCCCCAAAAGTTTGTCTTCAGTGTAAGGCCCTGGGCCCTGAGGCTGGGAAGCAGGAGATGACCGCGGGTGCGCAAAGATTGGGACCTCGGGGCTTGCGGGAAAAGGATGCACACTATAGCAAGTACCAAGCCCCTGTTCCCTAAGCAGAGACATTTCACATCACAGCCGGAGAACCCAGAAGCGGCAATGCCTCTGTAGTAGCTGCTCGTGATGGTTCGGAATCGCTCCTGTCCGGCAGTGTCCCAGATCCTGGGCCGTGAGGGCTATCAATGGCTATCGCATGTTTACAGCTTGTCTGAAGCTGAAAACAGATTGCCCCAAACTTGACGCAAATGACAACCGCAAGAAATTAATCACGAGACGGACTGCCAATCCTGATGGATTTCTGCGTAAGAGACCGCTCAGTCAATCCCTCACAGATTCTATGAACTGTCTCACATGGAAGAGGTCAACGCTAGCATCCACACTGAAGTATCTCCATATGAAGCTGGGTAAAAGCAGACCCCTGACCCTTGTGTTGGAGAGCAAAAACCCCTGAGCCCTAGACATCCCAAGAAAGGTGCCCCTAAAGCAGCCGCTCACACACCCACGAAAGAGCCCCCCCAACTCTTGGGGGATCTATAATCCGCGTGTAGCGCCTAGGTAGCCCCAAGTGGAACCTGACTACAACTGCATCCAGGCTGCTGCAGCTTAATCGTCTTGCCATCCTGCTCCAGCGTGCGGATCTTGAAGTCCACGCCGATGGTGCTGATGTAGCTCTCCTGTTGTTGACAGGCTTTACTGGGTTGCTGTTTAGGAACTTAAGCTAAGTTACTATGATAAGGAAACCCTTTTCTAGCCATACTATGATGACTTAATTTCAATTCCTTGACAGGGACCCGGTTCATGGAGGGGCCAGCTTCTTGGGCCATGGATGTGCAGCTATCTGGATTCTGCCAGGCATCTTCTAATCCACAACATTATCTTCAGGACCGCTTTCAGTATCCCCCTTAATAACCCCACTCCCCTAAATAGTGCCGTATATAACTACCTCCTTTAAGGAGTTTAGACTATAACTTACCTGAGATCAATGATTCTCCGTTGGGAATCCCTATATAACCTGCTGTAAGGAGTATAGACTATAACTCCCATGACATCAATGCTTCTCCCTTGAAGAATCCTCTAGCAGGATCCCGCCGTTTCTTTGAATATGAACCCATACCATGCCTATACCCCAACTTCCAGGTGCAAATCGATTTAAGGGCCCAACAGTGTACGTGTCATCAGCGAAGCGCAGCAGCAGGCAGGACTTTCCGACGCCTGTCGTGGGGCTTGGGTTCATTCAGGGCTGAGTGTTCAGGGGACCAGGATTGAGGAAACAAAATTGTGGGCTTAGGCCCAGAAGTTAATTCAAGTTGTTGGGGATAATCGCCGGGGTCCGGGAGGGCCTGAATCTTTCCGTTTGCCTCTTCCCAAGCGCTCGCTGGAACTTGTGATGCAAAGCAAGGCATTCACGGCACGGATTCGAGATGAAGAGGGTCTGGGGACAGCTGTTCACAGAGACCATACGAGCTACAGTCTAAACTCCTAGAATCCCCCTCATTAACCCCTTTAGCCGTCCCCTATGAGCCCCTCTATAACACCCTTTAAGGAGTTTAGACCCTGGCTATATAGAGACTACTGTAGAGATCCATTCCTACATTGGCATATCAACCATGAGCAGGCTTAGATGTCTGAAACAAATGTGAATGCAATGTCATGTCATGTTGTGGTCCATTCGAGGTACCAGACAAGGAGCCTAGACCATAATGGAGGCAATTGTCCCCATAGCTCCTGTACAAACCGTCCCCAGACCTTTTCCAGTGTCTTTTCATTTCTTCATCTGTACCACGTAGGTATTTCTCTGGACTCTAGGCCCCTAAACCCCAAAACCCTTAACCCAAAACCCCTAAACCCTAAACCCCTAAACCCCCAAAACCACCCTACACCGTTAGAAGCCTGAGTCTCCGATCAGAAGCAGCTTGAAGAGGTAGTCCTCAGCAGGATTGAAGGGGTTTAGGGGTTTAGGGGTTTAGGGTTTAGGGGTTTAGGGTTAGGGGTTTAGGGTTTAGGTTTAGGGGTTAGGGTTGGAGGTTTTACGCAGAAGCTTCTCCAAGGAAGGGGGGGGGCCCTGAGGGACCCTGTGGGATACATGTTGGTAAAGAGGAGAGAATGGGATTCTCTAGGAAAACAATTGAGACATGGTTCCACCTGCAGCCATCGAATCTAAGCCTTAGCGAGAATCTAGGTTCCCCGGAAATCCCTTAAGAATAAGGGTTGCCTTTTTCCCAACGTTCAGCTTTTAAGATTAAGACCCCATAATACAAAGGACCAAAGGGTACTACTGGGGTACCTAGGAATACAGTGAAAGCCCAAGAAGAGCCAGGCATTACACGACCGATGCACGCATGGCGCACCTTTTAGTAACCGGTTTAGGGATTAGGGTTGCGGAGAGCCCTACACCCCAAGCCCTTATCCCTAACTCTAACCCATCGGAAACTACCAGCGAAGACTACGCTCCCCCTGCATCGAAGCTTCCGCGCATTTGCAGTAACGACTCTCAACCCTGAATGCTTCCCTCCACTTGCATCGCTGCAGACATAGCAGCAGTAATGCGCCCTCCCCTCACATGTAAAAAACCCAGCCCCCTAAAATGAGTTTTCCCAATAGATGTCGAGGTCTAATACAGTATATTACAGTATAATACACTATAATTATAGTAGGATGGCGACATGCATGATCAGGGGGCTTGTGGGTTGCATTCTTCAAGGGATGGGATCATTCCACACCATGCTGCTGTTTCATATCCAAAGCCTTGATTGTCATAATCTTCCTGTCATCACATGGCCTATAGTCCAAACTCATAATAACCCCTAGAACGGCTCCTCTAGATAAACCCCGTTAAGGAGTTTCCTTATGATGAGCCCCCTCTGCTTCTGCACAGTGGCGTACTCCGGGGTCGCCATCCCTCTGGAAAAGATGCTGCAGGTCGACTCCTGGATTAAGATAGGGTTTAGGATTTAGGGTGTAGAGCTTAAGGATAAGACTTAGGAATTAGGAGGACCCCCCCACGGTAATAGTGGTATAGTAGGAACCTAAGAGGACACTAATATAGTTAGGCTATGCCTTATAACCAGTATTATTGGGTGGGGTGTCCACCTCACCTGGGGGAATCACTGAGTGGTACCCCGGGTCTCCGTGCTATCAGGCTCAATAATTAACGTGAGCGCACAAACATGCAAATTATGATGTGGGTGTGGAGGATAGCTGCGATGATGCGCAGCTCTTCCCGCCAGTGACCTCAAGTCCGCCTCGTGCAGCAGGAGCTAAACGTCCTTTGGACAGCCCAGCTGCTTTCTTCTAAGCCCGGCTTTCCTTTTCAATCCTGGGTCCAAGGACGCAAAGAATGGGGTTTTCGGGCCCAGATACTATAAGACTAATGGGTACTTGGGCCCGAAGACCCTATCATTTGGGTCCTTGGTACTCCCAACCGTGGCTTCTGTACCAGGTTCCCCAACAACCCCATAATAATAAGGGTACCTTTTTTTCCAATATTCAGCTTGAATAAGGAGAACTCAAAATAAAAAGGGAAAAACGGATACTACTGTTGTACCTAGCTGTACTCATCGACGCCCTGCAAACCCAGATGATGCTTCACGTGCAGGAGGCCCCCAGCGCCCTGCCGTTTTGCGAGTCTAAATTTTTTCCGCCTACAGCAAAGTCCCTAGTGCTACTTGGAGGTCCATGGGTACCTGTAACCTACTTACACCTGACTGCACTTAAAACTCAATTAGAAGCCCCTACCTAGTGGTTCCAATACTAACATATGGGTTATAGCTACACTTACGTGTGGTTTATATTAGGCGGACCCCCCACCCAGTAATAGTGACTGTAAGGGATAATAGGGATTTGGTTAGGGTCCTTTTATATTCCTATGATATCACCATTACAGGGTGGGGGGTCCTCCTAAGGCTTATACCTACCCATGGACTTTCAAATGGACAACCTGATGTTTGTGCAGCGGGCCCGTGGGTCCTTGATCTCGAGATCAACTGGAATTCAAGGCTTGGACCGAACAGCCGCAGAGAAGCAACTTGTGTCTGCTAGGGGCCCACATAGGTTATCAGCACCCGGAGGACACTACGATCCAAAGTATTCGAGCTTCTACATGACTAGGCGGCCTACTCATATATGACCCCTACACAACCCATATATTATGGTAGCTTCCATTTTCTTTTCCCTTTTCCCTATATAACCGCAATATAACCCTCATATAACCCGTATATATATATAATATACCATGCTCTATGCCTATGGAGGAACGCAGCTCAAGATAGCCTGCGCAAGCGGCTAGAATTGCACGGGGTCCTGTCTGCTCAAATACGCTTGCGCATAGCCATGTGCAGAACATGGTAGGGTTTAGCGTTTAGGGACTAGTTCGGTAGTGCATGTGCGTGCCCCCCACACACAGCAGACTTAGTTGCTAGCTTATTGGGGGCTGCAAGTGCTACCTGTAGCCCACCTGATAACCACTACCTTGGACTATCCGTGCGGTCCGTGCCTCACCCCTCCTCCCACCCCAAACCCCTAAACCCACCACCCCCACACGGACAGCAAACAAACGGGCACCCGAGCGCTAGCTCGAAGGCACAGAGCCCCTGCTGGTTGCGCTGGCCAGGGTCTGCGCCTTGGCATTAATAAAAGGATTAGAGTTTAGGGTTTTTGGGTTGTCTGGTTATAACAGGATGTTGGTAACCCCAGCCCCCAAAATAAGAATCCTGTAGCCAGGGTTGGGATTACCAAAACCCGTTTAGTAGACATACCGTTTCTCTTACAAATGATTATGGTATTGTTACTAGCACTACCAGAAGCCCGAAGGGGACTTTTGTGGGCACTCCAAATGGAAACTACCATTTAGGGTTTGAGGTTTTAGAAACTACAAGCCTTTGCCAACAAGGATCCCTGCGCCATTCAGATGCCCGAAGGCATTCAGGAAAATAGCAATATCATATCTATTTTCTGCGACCCTTGATACGCAAGTTTTCCAACTCTAGGTTTGCAAAAGCTGTTTCATAACACATGAGGGATTGATCTAAAGATCCTTAGGGAAATCATGTCTAGGGTTCTTGCAGGTCTATAAGGCAACATATAAAGAAAATCTTGTCCACATTGGCCAATTTGGGATGTAGGCACTGCATAGGGTTCCATTAGGATGTCACAAGGTTATGTAGGGATTACATAGCGCTTTGCTACGGAGTTGCCGATTGCGAACCAGACTTGCCTGAACCCTACACTGTACAAGCTAGGCCCAATCGTGCAGGAAAGAACTTCCATCTTGACTACCAGAAAGGACCTAATCGCAATTCTGGGTCTCTTCGGGACCTAGAAGAACGGCTTGTCATGACTTAAGTGACTTGCCCTACTCCCCCATGCTACTCCCTAAGTGAAGCCTTGGTTCACCTTAATTAGCCTTGAGCAACTTGATTTACGTGAACGGCAAAGGAGGGGTAGCATAGGGGGATGTATGGGGGGGTGTTAGGACTCTAAACTCTACATTAGAACCCGAACCAAACCCATGAACTTGGGCTGCGCAAACCGGGTGCCCCTGCGTCCGTCAAGCAAAGCCTTGCAGACGTCTGCTGCCCCCATGCAGGCCTTGGGTTGCATAGCACAATTTGGTTATGGTTTAGGGCCTAATGTTTAGTGTTATATTGGATTTAGGGTTTAGGGTTCAGGGTTTAGGGTTACAGGGGGATATAGGGTTCAGGGTGTTGTTCTTTTATCTTTAGGGTTCATCATTCAGGGTGGGTTTTGCAAGAAATGTGAAGACGGATATTTATATGCGCGGCCATGACTACGGTGGATAATGGAAATCCTGCATGACCCTAAGTACCTTATACCTTTGCAATTATCATCTTATAGTATACTAGGGCCATGAAGGATTTTTAGCATCAACAGTAGGGATCAAGCGTCTCAGGGTTGATTCTCCCCAACCAAAATTGGAACCCCGAAAGCGGCCAAACCAAGACGATTGTGTTTTCAATGTTGACCTACATCAGCTACAGTCAATGTTTCCTACAAAATCTAACGGACATGGGTTCCTTGTTAGGGACTAGCTCCCTTACGCTAGGAGTGCCCGCGGCGCTTCCGCGGGGATTCCCAATCAGTTCAGCAAATGCTCTACTCAAGAGCACCCTGGTTTTGGAAAGATATTCATAGCACGGGTGGGGCTCAAGAGGTTTAGGGTTTGGAATCGCACAAGCTGCGGATTTTGTCGGTCAAGGTCTTGAAGTTTGGGTGCTTCAGATTCAAAAGGAAATTCGGGTCTTCCGATATGGGGCTAGCACAGGGCGCTGATACTTCAGATTCTTATGCATATGCGCTGGCAAAGAAATGCACTGAAAAGCCAGAAGTGATCCTGTCAAGGTGGCCTTGCGCAAAGGGCCTTATGATTTCACGGAGGGATACAGAGATCCAAATTTTGAACATGTCCACTCAACGCGTTGTCTGTGATTGTACCTTCCAGTTTCCCCGCCAGCAGCACGACCAAAGACGCGTCTGCATGAAGGTAGATCCCTGCTACGAAAACCTCGCTCGAAGACAACAACAGGGGCCCTTATGTACATGGGTCCAAATTAAACCTCAGTTCCAGCGGGCCTGCATCATGCGGCATCAAAAAAGCACAGCCGCCATGGTCTCGTTCCAAGCCAATTGACACAAGCGACGTTTTCACGCTGCATGCCTGTACGCGCAACTAGCTGAGCTATCTGGGCAGATGTCGACATCTGGGTATCTGTATGCACAACAAAACGTTAGGAACCTTCTGAATGGGAATGACCTGATGTTGAAACATCTGCCATCTGTGCCCCGTTGGCACAGCCCTCCTACCTACGGTTTGAAGGGAGACAAAATCTTTCCTGAGCCTAATTACACCCGCGTTTCGGTGTCTCTGACTTGGCCATGTGTCGAAAGTCCCTCAAACAGGGAGCCTGCACCCCAAGCTCCCATCCCCGTTCCACCCCTCAGTGCGCTCAGAACTGCGGATCCTTCAGTTCCACTGCGCCGCGGCGCCCAAGACCCGTGGCCCGCCTCAGATGCACAGGGTAGGGAGTCACAGGTACAAAGATAAGGTATACGGCTACGGGTTCTCAACTTAGCAGCAGGAAATGTTGCAAGTCGGCCCCTGCTTAATTAGTTTGACCGGTCCTTCGCTGGAGAAAATTCAAGCCTGAAACCCGCTCCTCGCGTTGAGCTGCAAAACTCTACTTCAGGGAGAGATGACTGATCAGCATATCTTTTCTCCAACTCACGAGCGTTTCGCATTCCGACATCAACCCTTTGCAAGCAGGTTCCCTGTGACCTCAGGAATTAGTTGCAAGGGCCAGGGTGCTACAAGGTAGACCAGTACTGAGGCAAACAATAAGCCCAGATCTCCTCATTCCAGTGGGGCCCGCTTTTGCTGGGGCCATGCGAAGTCAGAGACTCTTCAAGTATCAATACGGGAGTTTCCAGGATTTGGGAACATTTTTGGGAGTCCCTATAAAATTTCCAAGGACCCCGTACGCATTGGGCGCGAAATGTTGGGCTTTGGCTATATTTCTCAACGTGGGGAAACTATTGCAGGGGCCACTTTGTAAAAAAAGGACCTCATCAAGTAGCGCGGCATCCGTGCATGGGGCCGTTCCTGCCCCACATGTCTTCTTCATACCGCGTTTGTTTTTGTTTCTCTTTTATGCTAATTGTTGCCGTGAGCGGTTCTGGGGGTAATCTCTGTTTTTCTGCTGTCGATGTTTAGCATCGTATGAAACCCCGAGCCCGCAGTATTCAGGGGATTCGATTCGGTCTGCAAACACACGTATGCCTTTTACAGCCGCCGAGTCCAGTCCCAAGCCACTGAGCCTCAGTTTCACTACCACCAGCACAGCCATCTGTAGTTAGCCAAAGTAAGCCTCGATTGCAGAAAATC